CGGGGTAAAGGTGTGTCCCCTGCTTACCCCGCCCTCTGGAGGCACTTGGGAATGGGGTAAAGGTGTGTCCCCTGCTTACCCCGCTCTCTGGAGGCACTTGGAAATGGGGTAAAGGTGTGTCCCCTGCTTACCCCGCTCTCTGGAGGCACTTGGGAATGGGGTAAAAGTGGGCATAGTGCTTACCCCACACTCTGGAGGCACTTGGGAATGGGGTAAAAGTGGGCGTAGTGCTTACCCCGCTCTCTGGAGGCACTTGGAAATGGGGTAAAAGTGGGCGTAGTGCTTACCCCACACTCTGGAGGCACTTGGAAATGGGGTAAAAGTGGGCGTAGTGCTTACCCCGCTCTCTGGAGGCACTTGGAAATGGGGTAAAAGTGGGGGTAGTGCTTACACCGCTCTCTGGAGGCACTTGGAAATGGGGTAAAAGTGGGCGTAGTGCTTACCCCGCTCTCTGGAGGCACTTGGAAATGGGGTAAAAGTGGGGGTAGTGCTTACCCCACACTCTGGAGGCACTTGGGAATGGGGTAAAAGTGGGGGTAGTGCTTACACCGCTCTCTGGAGACACTTGGAAATGGGGTAAAAGTGGGGGTAGAGTTTACACCGCTCCCTGGAGGTGCCTGTGGGGGGGAGGGCCAGCTGCCACCGTCCCCTCACGGCCCCCCACCCCCGGGCGCTGCCTCAGCTCTCCGCCATCCTTCTCCCACGGCCTGGGCACCTCCTGTAGACTAACTGCAGTAAGGAGGGAGGGAGAGATGGATAGACAGGTAGACAGATAGGGAGGGAGGTACAGAGAGATGGGTAGACAGACAGGTAGGAAGGTAGGTAGATAGAGATGGAAAGATAGACAGGTAGGTAGGTAGAGATGGATAGATAGGTTGTAGACTAAAGTAAATAGGCAGGTAGCAAGGTAGAGATAGAAAGGTAGGGACAGGTAGCAAGTGAGAGATGGATAGACAGGTAGAGAGACATAGGTAGGTAGAGATGGACAGACCGAGTAAGTAGGTAGAGATGGACATACAGGTTTTGCAAGCCGATGCATCAGGTGAAGCGAGCTTCATCCTACAAAAGCTGGTGGTCTCTCTCTCTCCGTCTACTTCGGTTAATCCATAAAGCGCAGATCGACCCTGCCTTCTACTTGCCTTCAGACGTCCGCAGCTTTTGCTACGTCTCTCAACCTTCGACTTGGCAGCATAAGCAGGGGAAGAGCTGCATGTTCCTCCCTAGCAGATCGGTCAGACTAGCCCAGCCCAGTCCATAGTGGATTCGTCACAATACGAGAATAGGCCTAAATGGTGTCAGGTAGAAACAAGCCGTAAATTATTGAAAGTCATATTACCAAGACTTTTATTTGGAAAGTAGTCGCTGGACTTCCGCAAGCAATCGGTAAACCGTCACCGTTCTTGTTAACTGTGAAACGCAGGCCTGGAAAGAAGCTTCTTAAAACAGATGTGCTTTCAAAAGAACCTATACTAGTAAAAGCAAGAAAAAGGAGCAGAGGTTTAAAGTACATGCGTTTCAAGTGCTGTTCATCTTCGAGTGGAAATTTGACAAGCTCAACTGAGAATAGCAAATGACTGAAGAAAAACTCGAGAGGGTTCCTTAAATACAAGGGCAGTGGAAAAGACAAAACCGTATTGCAACTAGAATGACAGAAACACGTCAGATGCTGGAATCCGTACAAAGGACATTATGCCCCAATGCTGCACACAGATGAGTCAGAAATACTAAATATAATGCCTAATCGGGGATTTAGAAGTGTAGGAACACAGCGTGAGATGCCCTGTTCTGGCCATCCGTGGACCGGCATGAAATTTAAAGTCCTGAGTATGCAATACATGGAAGAAACAGGATGGATGAGGAACAACCTGGGATTTTGGATCACCAGAGCTCAGGTCTGGCCCAGATTTGCTTGAATTAAACTGAAAAAAATTACTGGTAATTAGTGGACTGGTTTTTGTTTTTTTTTCCTTAATGAAAGTCATAACAGGCATTTCATTTTGGCTACTTTGTTATTGTATCCCTCCACATCAAATCCTTTCAGTGGTTTAGCCTAATGACTTAGCAGCGTCAAGACACTGGCAAAAAACCAATTAACCAAAAAAATGCTATGAATAATTCATGGAATCTATATCATATGACTAAAGCCAGGAAATAGGATCACTCTCTAACCAGTACCAGTTTGTCACACATTAATTACACCTCCACCCACAAACATTTCACAAGTAAACTACTATTGGGTGCGTGCATTAAGACATCCTTTTTTATTATATCTTTTCTTCTCGCAAGAGTGGAAAAATGCAGGGAGAAAGGAGCGATACGGGATAGGACAACTAGTGGTAATAGTCTCCTTTGCAGGCACCTTTATCACTGGAGTTTATGAAGGGCCCATATTATAGTAGGTCTTCAGTCAATTAGATATTTGAGTAGTGAGGCTTTGTTCAATGAAGGATTTACTATTCCTCTTTTCCTCTCCCACTTCCCTTATATCAAGGAAATTCAGTGTGTAAAGATACTTATACAAGATTATGGGTTTGATTTGACATGCCTTTCCAATCCCAAAATTCAAAACTCCATTCCCATACCAAAAAAAAACTAGCTTAAATTTATGTGCTGCTTTTCCAGGTTTAAAAAAAACAAACAAACCCAAACTCTTCTCTAACTTTTCATTAGAAGAGAATGAATTATTTGTCAGGAATTATATATTTGATGGATTTTGGCCTGCTGTAATACAATAAGGGGCAAATTGTGAGACAACCATCTCCCCTGATTAATATCAAAAAGTCACAATCTCATTCCCCATTCTCCCACCACTCCATGGAGGATATTAACTGCAAGATTGCATATCCAAAATATCTGCTGCAGTGCGCATTGACATAACTCTGCCATTAGGATGATTTGAAGAATCTGTCTATGTACATTTTAGGAAGACCAGCGAAAGTGATAAAGTTATTTTAATTAAAATCTGTTGTTGCTTGTATGTGAACACAGAATCCAGCACTGCTGGCAAAGGCTGTGTCAGATCCGTCTTAGACTGGGGACAAAAGTGAATTGTCATCACGTTAATGGTTGTCTGTTCAAGTGGAAACTTTAGGCCAGGGGTGTACAATATATGGGACCGCAGGCAGCATGCAGCCTCCGGGGGGAATAGCAGTGGCCCGGCAAGTCAGCCAGCTGCACGTGTGCCTTGGCACATTGGCCAGACTGTGCACGTGTCTCAGTAGCCCTTCATTGGAAAATGTAATGAAATAGCCCCCAACAGAGTCTCAGCCGTGCGTCCCGGCCACCTTAAGACAATGGGGTGCCTGAAGTCTACGAGAGCCCACTTGCTTCAAACGTCTCTGCCACAGGGCTGGCTTTTGGAGAGTGAAAAAACTGCAAGCGTAAAACAAAGTTGAACTTGGAACGAGCAAGAGCTGCCGAGGAGTCTTGAGGAGGACGACATTTATTTTAGGGCATGAGGATTTGAAGGGGTCCCTTCTTTCAAAATGAGGTTAGACATAAGATCTGAGTAGGGGTGCATAGTTGCTCAAAACCAAAACAGTGCTAAAATCTGTGCCCAGTTCCAGCAACCAAAGCAAGATGTTTGGGGCTCAGCATTTACATCAGCTCGTGGAAGCCTTGGGAACATCCAGCAGCGTCTCCCAAATCAGATGATCTTTGAAGGCCACCCAGGACATTGTAGGAGCAGAGCCAGAATTCATCCTGTCCTTTCTTACTCCTTTGAATAGTTTTCTCTCCATCTCATCCATCCTCATGGTCTAGGTAGCTGGCATAAAGTAGTAATGCAATATAACTGTACCAGCAAGACCACAATCTGACCCTAAATTATTGAGGGAACATTTTATCTCAACTGTGACCAGCACTGTGTAGCTGAATAAAAATCACTGAACAATTATTTTGATTATTTTTTTCCATCTGCGATCTACTATTCATGCAGAAATCATTCACCTACCGCTGAAATGCAGTTGTCTTTGCAATGGGACACAACAGCAGTCATAAAACATGCACCAGTAGCAATACTTTACAGCAGTTTACATCAGAAAGAAAAGAATAATAAAACTGTGGGAACAGTTTAGAAAATACTTCTTAGACCCCTTGGCCAGTAACCCATTAGATGAAGTCTAATGGCTATATGTTATTGGATATTTCTTTAAAAAATGGCACCCCAAAG